GGAAGCCTATGGCTCCAACCCTCTGCTCACCTTTTGTGATTCATAAGCAGCTCCCTGTGAAGTTCTTGGTGGCTTTTCGAGGCTCTTACAGGATTGAGCAGCTTTTTAGGTTTTATAAGATCAGGGTTTCCATCAAGATAATCAGGATGCGTCATGATATTCCCAATATCAGGCCGCTCTGTTTGTATTTCTGAATACATAGATGCTGGGGGGAGGGAGAGACATCAGACAATGCATTATAGTTATTAAAGGAAAATTCTCAGAAATCAGGCAGATATCAAATCCAGAGCCCTCAGATTTTAGAATCACAGTTTTATCTGGGCAGTTCCTATCCCTAAACAAAGTTACTAATTTACATTAGAAGTCTTACAAGACATTCTGATTTTGCATTATTTAGTCCTGGAAGACTAATTCATAAAATATCATTTGAACCCCTGGGCTTTGGATGAATACAGATGTGTATAGTGACATTGTGCATTTCTACTAGAGTTTGGGTGAAGCAATCAAATTGGTTTCTCTCAGTTTCTAATTTTTGCTAATATTTTATTCTGATTTCTTTCTCACACCTAAGCTTCCTTATGTAGTCAGAAATGCGTGACTTTTGAATGATAATGCTTTACTTTGCACATAGGTTCAAAAATACAAATTTGGATTTGTTTCCTTTCAAATGTATGCTAAACAAATTTCTCCCCATCCATTGGTCATTGCTACTAAGCATGTGGACCACATCTACCTGTACTAGCCTACTGGCAAATGTCTTCTTGAGCTTGGAGGCAAATCCTGATTAGCCTAGGTTCATTATGCACAAAAGTCTGTATGCTCATCAAGAGCGACACCAGTTTTCTACAACCTGATGTCCTCTTGATAAATTGGAACGACATGACCAATGGTTGGCATGCTTGGTTATTTATTTTTTATTCTTATACATGAGATTCATATCATAAGGTTTAAACCTCATCTTTCCTCCAACAGTGTATACATAAATTGAACAAACAACAGAGAAAGGGAGTGCTAGTAAAAAAAATGTTTTGACCTGACGCATGTTGGAAAATGGATTCCTTTTTCAAGAGCCCATCTGGAATGTCCCTGATCAAGTTCACAGCCCTCAAAACATTTTCACTGGCACTTGGGCTTCCTCTTCCTCTTCACTGCCTGCTCTCCTTTTTCACTGGCCTCCTTTTGTGTTTCCTGTAACAACACCCGTGTGGGGTGCAACAGACTGCAAGACAGGAACTCAGCCATTCTACGGCTGAGAGTGGAGCTGAATCTGAGTCCCTCTGGACTTAATCTAAAAGCTTGAATTGTCCATCACCTGGCTTGCATCCTGAAGGGACCATGCTGGAAAAATGTACTTCAGGTGGACCACAGTTATCTGGTTGTTATGGCCATGGTATGACTGGGAGGCATTCAACAGACAAGACGTGGCTTATAGGTGAGACACCCCCCCCCAAAAAAATATTCAAGGTGTTTATTTGAACACCTATCTAGAATGCAGGAAGCATTTGATTCCCTTCCATGCTGCTCTTCTCTTTCCCCCTCCCTGACTGCTGGATTTGTTCTGCTTTTTACCAAACATCATCAAAGTCCAACAGAAAGCTGAAAGGAAGCAGGGCATGTTAAGTAAATTACAGAAAATCAGAAAACATTCTGGATTTTTTGGGGGGAGGGGTAAAAGGAGAAAGTGACAGAATTCCCAGCACTGCCACAGTTTCCCCTTGCACACTACAGTGATGGGTCTCTGAAGGCTATGGAAAAGACCCAAGCAAAGCTGATCACAATGGATTACATCACTATAATTGGGGTGAAAAGTTCAGTGCTACAATTAAGCACCGCAGGAGAAATAACAGGTCTTGTGACTCCTTTCACCAAATATTGGTGGGCTTTATTGCCATCATTTTTGTCCAACGAAATTGCAACAAGGGGCATTGCCCGCTTATCTCACGCCCAGCTTTCCTTTCAAGAAAGATTTTCCAGTTAGGGTTTGAAATGATGCAGATGATTTGTGTAACTTGGAAAGCTCAAAATTTGGGAGTCCACAAACTATAGGGATGGGTAGCTGAGACTAACACAAGCCCTGGAGAGTTACAGCCCTAAGACGGAAGAAAATGTTGCATCAAATCTCTTTTGCTGCCCTTCACTTAAAACCTGGGAATAGCATTGGATTCCCAAGTTTTAGAATGATTTAAACCAGGATTTTGTCTAGTAAAAACAAGCTGATTAATAAAATACAGGAAATAGAGTAGCTTTTCTGTGTGTTACCAATTCAAGATTTAGAAATGTTTGCATAAGGAACGTGTTTATTTACTTCTTCAGGCAGACGGTGATTTTCAAGATGTTGCAATACCTGACATTTCAAAGACCATGAATTTGGGACACAGGAGTGGGAGAAGAGGTTTGCAAGGATAATATGGAGAAGACAAGATTCATTATGGTAATATGTTTATCTAATACCCAGGCCCATATCAATAGAAAAGTGAACAAAAGTAAAACTGAATACTATTTATAATATTAAATGAAATGATCATTGCAGGTCTTTGGTAAGTGGCATAACAAATCACTGTTCATAGCAAAAGCAGTTGATCAAATGCTGTCTACCTCAACCTGGTACCCTGCAGAGGCCTTGGATCTGCATGGGAGGGTGCCACATTGGCGACAGATTGCACATTGTATTCACTTTCCAACAATTGAAAAATGCTATTCAGCCACGCATGTCATCTTGATGAGAAAAGGGTGAGATCCATTTCTTGGATCAGACATATAACAAATTGATACAGATGGCCAAATGCCCAACAGGTGAGCTCTCGCAGCCTGAAATAACATCAATCTCATTTCTGGGCAATTGTGGTCATTGCTCCACAATTTCTCCAAGAAAAAAAAGGATTCAGATACAGACCAATAGTAGAAAAACATCTGTGGGTTCTCCCTCAAATATTAAGTGGACAGCAGGTGAATTGATACCGTTAGGGAACACCTGTAACACAGTGACAGAGCCCACTGTTTGCCCATGAAAGAATACACAATACTTTAATGGCCAAGTATAAAATATATACAAGGAATTTATCTTCGGTGAAAAAACAAACAGCAAGAGCAACAGTGCATTTGGATAACAGCAAAAAGGAGGAATAAGCAGTAACGCTACACAGTAAAATAACACTACTGCCATGGACCAACATCTGTTCATTTTCAAAAGGAGAAGCCACTGTCCAGCACATAACATATCATGTAGTGTTTAACAAAGCAATGGCGTGAGGGAAAAAACTGTTCCGGTGTCTAGATGTTTTAACATACGGTGCTCTATAGCGCCATCCTGAAGGAAGAAGTTGAAACAGTTTATATCCAGGATGTGAAGAGTCTGCAGATATCTTCTCCGCCCTCCTTTTGACCCTCACAGTATACAGGTCTTCTATAG